AAAACAAGCTTAATAGCCTTTGATAGCTTTATTGAATAATATGTGGTTAAAAGCTAATGATCCAGGGCACAGATAGATGATAGATAGATAGATAGATTAGATGATAGATAGATAGATAGATAGATAGATAGATAGATAGAGATATATAGACATATATATATAGATATACATAGATAGATAGATATCCTAAAAGAACGTCAGTTTCAGATATCCAGTGCCATCCACAAGAGCACATTGTTTTCCTGTTTGGACCATGTATGTTAGTCTCCACCTCAGACTGACAAGAGCTGACTTAGAACTGAAAACCATGACTCAGAAGGAAGATTCATTCAACCTGTAAAATAGTCATGAACAGGACTAGTCTTCCCTCAAAAAAAAATACCCCTGCATTTAATTTTTATTTTTACTCTTCAGAAAAATCTGTGTGCATTCATAAGCAGTAAAAGAAACATTTGCCAGAGCTCCCTGCCATTTCATGAGTCACTCTCTGCCCCTCTTGGCAGTTTGTATTGGGCAGGAGAATGGTAGTAAAATCGAGGGTTTCCCCTGTTTGACATTTTAGTCTTCTAGAGTAGAAGAGGCTAAGTTTTCCAAGAACTGCCTCCAGCCCTCAGCATGATGGTCCCTCTGGGAGTTAGTAACTTGCTTTCAAGAGTTACTTGACCTTGGTGAAAGCATTGTCCAAGAATATACTGAATTCCCCATGAGTCATAACTTGTTTTCTTGAACTGATCCAGAAAAAAAAAGGCAGCATCTAACTCTTGGATTCTGCCCCAGACTACTCTTGGGTGGGGTCCGGGTGCCTCCTCTTCCAATAAACTTCAAGGAGACACCAGTCAGAAACCAAACCTCAGGCTCCTCCTCATCCTGGTCACCAGTTTAACATTTAAGACACTCCTTTCCAGCTGCTTCTACCTCTGTAAAGAGCCAAAATGTTAGATCAAAAGAAAGATGCTTACCTTCTGTAAGATTTATAACCATGTTAAAAAAAAAAAAAGAAAAAAAAAACTGTCCTGGCTTATAAGCATTGACTTCCCCCATCCTTTTTTTATTATTCCCTAGCTTTGAAAAAGCTTAAATTAGTACAAAGTTGTTCTTTATCAATAATCAGCTTCTGTGTGTGTGTGTGTGTGTGTGTGTGTGTGTGTGTGTACGTACTAGGGATCAAATCCAAACCCAGAGCCTCATGCATGCTAAGCATATGCTCTCCCATGGAGTTATAACCCCGGTCCCCACTTACTTTTTCATGTACTTAAAATACAGTATATCTAGCCCCAAACATACCAAATTTAACAGGTTTCCCTGTGCCTCTGGTGATATGCATTTTTCAATGGCATTGTATTGTATAATTCTCAACAGCCTTCTTTTTGCACATAGCTGTCCACAATATACAGGTTTTCCACTTAGTCAAATAGCACCAACATGGACTTCTTTAATATCACGGTCCCCAAAAATCATAATTTGTTCAGCTATCACCCATCAACAGGTGTTCTAGTTGTCTCCAGTTTTATAAAAGTCTCTATGATAAACACTTGGTGAACATTATTAGTTGTGCTTTTATTTTTGTGGGTTATAGACCCACAGGTAAGTCGAAGGTTGTACCTAGTGATCATGCTGCCTAATTAACCTTGCTGCCAGGTTGAAGCAACTAAGAAGTGTTGTTTCCTCTATCCTTGCCATCACTAGTTGACACTAGTCTTTTGAATCTCTGCTGTTTTGATGGAGGAGAAAATGGTGACACTGGTGAGGTTGACCTCTCATTTTATGTGTTCCATCATCTGTATTTCCTTTCCAATTTACAAATTTCGTGTTGTTGAACCTTTAAATCAATTTATAAGAATCTTAGTCCTTGGTGCTAGTAATATTAACCCTTTCTCATAGATGTGACTATGCTTCCTAGTCTCCTTATTTTCTTATAGTATAATTTCCATACAGAAAATTGTAAGATTTGTGGTTAAGGAATTGGGTTTTTCTTTATGGTCTCTGGGCTTGTGAACTCCTTAAGAAGTTACCTTGGGAACTTTTCCAATGATTGAAAAAAAGATAAGTCATATTAAGTGAGAGATGTCACAAAACAGCATGCTAACAACAACCTCCATTATTTCACAAATATAAATAATTAAATCAATATAGAGAATAGGATGAGATTGGCAGCAAAGTTGGAGGAAGGGAGAATGGGGAAAGTTTGCATGTATGTGTGTAATGTTTGCATTTTATGTATCTATATGTACATATGTATATATCATACAAGTTCATGTTTATTGAAAAATAATTCCCCATACCATTAAATTCACCGTTTTGGAGTGAAAATTTCAGTGTTCACAGTGTTGTCTAAATGTCTAGCTCTAGTACATTCTCTTCACCCCAGGAGGAAGTAGTTTCCCCAGTAGCAGATGCTCTCATAGCTCACCCCAGGCAGCCACTATCTGCCTCTATTTCTATAGGGTTACCCGTACTGGACATTTTGTATCACTAGAGTCTTACAGTAAGTTTTATATGTGGCTTTTTCTGCCTAGCATAGCATCATCCCTGCCATTGATAGACCCACCAGGCGTATTTTCATGTATCAGAGCATCATTTCTTCTAACTGCTGGTACATTTTGTTAAGCCACACCACGTTTTATTGATCTGTCACTGGTTGGAGGACTTTTAGTTGGTTCTACTTTCTGGCTATTTTGAACAATGCTACCATGAGTATTGGAGCACAAGATTTTTATAGATAAGCTCTCGGGTCTCTTCATTGCACACCTAGGAGTAGAATTGCTGAGTCCTGTGAAATCCCCATACTCAGCTTTTTGAAGAACTGTCAGACTGCTTTCCAAAGTGACAGTACCATTTTTACATTCCCTCCAGTAGGCTATGAAAGATCCACTTTCCCTTATCCTTGCCCCCTGCCCATGTATGTATGTGTCCATCTAATGGGTATGGCATTCTGTTTCCAAGTTTGTTTTAAGTCACAATCGCCTTCCTAGTACACTTCTTAG